TAGACCGGACCGGACCAAAGACCGAGGTGCAATTGACGTAGGTGAGGGATGAGTTGGGGTCGGGACTCGGAGGGGGGTTTACCGAGGGGTTAGGAGGGGTAGGAATCATCAATTTTATAAACGGAGTTCTGTAGGGGGCAGTGGCTTCCGTGGGCACTAGAATCCAGTGGCCACGGAACCTAACCGTTTAATCAATACCATACTTTAGTATTTCGTCATAATAAGATCGTTAACTTGAATTTTGATCGTCATAATCAATATTTAATAGAAATTATTATCAACTACATTTCATTATGGTTTATCCATTATAATTATCATTCAATCAGAATATCCATTAAGGTTTGATCATAATCAATATTCAATAATAGTCATCATAATATTCGGCCTAGCATCGAGTGTTAACACCATAGCTTACCGTCATGCATCAAACATGGTTCTTGAGTTTGTCAAAACATCGTATTCATTTCCACAAATCATATTTATATTGATCATAATTGATTGGTTACAAAAATAGGATTTAATAGTTCAAAAGTCGGGTTTTTGGGAAAAATTTCACGTTCTAGACGGTACTCAGTACGGTACCTCAATACTGTGTCCCGATACCTTGGTACCGACTACCGCCAGCTACCACGAAATGAGCGATTGTTAACGGTAGAAAGGCTACCGTTGCCACGGTACATCCTACCGTGCTGGTGGTACCTAGGTACCGTCTGGGCGGTAGAGTGATACCGTTCTGCACATTAGTTTTTAAACAGAGTCATCTTCAACCTCGGGCCAATTTTTAGATATACCATTTTAGTCACCAAACATCAATTAAACTATATAGAAATGTTCTCGAAGGTTCATAGATCATTTTAGTATCATTAGTTCGTAATTTTAACAACAATTTCAAGATTTATGATTCTTGGTTCTTCAAACATGTCAAACACAAAACTCAACCAAATGACCGTTTGAATCTCACGCACTTTTGGCATTGTCATTTGGGCAACATTAACGAGAAACACATATCTAAGTTATATCGCTCAAGTGTACTTGATTCATTTGACTTCTAGTCATATGATGTATGTAAATCTTGTTTACTTGGTAAAATGATAAGGGCTCCATTCACCGGTCACAGGGAAAGGGCGAGTGACTTATTGGGCCTCATACACTCCGATGTGTGTGGTCCAATTAACACTGTTGCTAGAGGTGGTTATTCTTACTTTGTTACATTTACTGACAACCTTAGTAGATATGGATATGTGTATCTCATGAAACACAAATCGGAATGCTTTGACAAATTCAAAGAATTTAGGAACGAAGTAAAAAAACAATTAGGCAAAAGTATAAAGACCCTCCACTCGGATCGAGGAGGTGAATACCTAAGCCTGGAGTTCGACGACTATCTGAAAGAGCATGGGATCTTATCCCAACTCACTCCTCCACGGACACCTCGGTTAAATGGAGTGTCTGAGAGGAGAAATCGGACTTTGCTTGACATGGTTCGAAGCATGATTAGTCTGAAAACATTTCCAGAATCATTTTGGGGATATGCATTGAAAACAGCAGCACACACTGTAACACCCTAATCCGTCTAGGTCTGCAGCCCCTTTTGGACTAAAGTATTAACTTGGTAATCGTAAAATTGAAAACATTTCAAACACATTTATTTATCACAATATTAATTTTCATAACATAAACAATATGGAGTTTTCAATATTGCGGAAGCTTAACAAATCATAATCACAAACATAATTTATTTATGTTCTTTAATTCAAATCTCACTCCCTTTGAACCTGTTAATTATAACTTCACGCAAAGGCAAAAACTCCACTCTTCCCCCAAGATCCAACATGATCGATCACTAGACAAACTGTGAGAACCTCTCTCCCACTACCTAAACACACCTTCCTAACCTTATGAATATTATCGTATGGAATACCAGAGGTGTATCCTAATCCCTTAAGAGACTTCATCAACTCTCCCTCGATCATAATGTTAAGTTAATGGGAATCTGGTAGTCCCCTAAGTGGTGAGATACAAAGTCTAGAGGGGGGGGGGGTGGGTGAATAGACTTTGTTACAAATTTAAAAGCTTTTTCGTTTCTTTTGAAAACGTGGAAAGAGTATTAATCTAAAGTCCTTGAGAACTTAGATTAAGTGCGGAAGTTGGTGGATAGTTGGAGCAGTAATCAATATGGATGGGTTAGTTTCACAGTTAATATAATCACAAAATAAGTAGAGATAAGAGAGAGAGACACGCAAACTTTAACGAGGTTCGAAGGTGGGGTAATCCTTCTACGTCCTCAAAATCCACTATGTAGTTGGTTGTTGAATATGAACGAACAATTACAATTTGTGAATTTTTGCACAGTATATCTTTGCAAGACAAATATTGCTACTGCACTCGTGCTGGCTTTCTTGTTCCTTCGAAGGTCAAGCTTCTTCAACAACTACAAGGTCCGAACAATAGGACTTGTAAGATCAACTTGTAGGAAAGTTGATGTGCCCCGTTTTAATCAAAATATTTGATTAAAAGTTGTATCCTTCAACGTGGTGTGGTACTTGAGGCAAGGAAACCTTAAAGTGTTTACACTTATAGCTCATTGGAAGGAGGAGTTTGCTTCTCGATAAGGAGTTTAGAATTCTCTCTTTATCAAGCTTTTTGGCTAACTTTGAATGAAGGTAGCTTTGTTCGTTGTGTTAGTTGTCTGTTCTTCAATCTTCCATAGGAGCTATATATAGGCTGGATGGTTTAATCTATCCGTTGAAGGGAATAGATTAACCGTTGCATTTGCTGGCTTAAATTTGAACAAAGATGGAGATTGAGGATTGTCCTTGGAGTGAGTTTTTGGACATAACCAATTGTTTGAAGAGGGATTCCTTTGTCATAAAATCCGTCTTCTAGCTATTGTTCACGAATTCTAGACTGTAGCTCTTTAATGAGTGGAGTACTCATTTTGTCTTCTTGTGTTTGTTCAAGAATTCTGACCGAGGTTTTCAACTTGAGGATTCCAGATTTTGTCTTCTTGTCATTTGTTCTTGAATCATCTAAGTTATCCTCAATCTAGCCATTGAAAATCAAGAGATTGATTTTTCCTTGCCAACAGGCAAAATTTCTTCATTCATCACTTAGATGAAATTTCTAAGTCCTTTCTCACTTGTCCGCTTCTGAGAGTTTCGGTCCACCTTGAGACATCCAGCTCTTAGCTTGACAGTTCCGGATTAGTCATCCTGAGACTTCCAGGTGAGAAAGAGTGATCCGCGCTAGTCTTCCGATCCGGATGACTTAGCCTTCATGTGAATGGCTGCGAGACTTCCGGGTATCATTGAGCATTTTGGATTTGAGAATTCCAAAGTAATTAGACTTCTTCGAGAATTCCTTTCTTGTCTTTGACATTTTCGAGCGAGAGTTCCAGTTTCTATATCTTTAATCTTTATAAGTCTTCTAAGAGTGAATACTCAAAAACTCAAAATGAAATATCACAAGCTTTATTTGAAATCTCAAGAACTTGGTTTTAACAATATTTCTAAAAATAAAATTACATTGAATAATGGGGGAGATCTAGATTCCCTATTACAATCTGAATACATCATCATCAAAATCTATAATATTTTTCCCAACAATTTCCCACTTTTTGATGATGACAAACAAGTGTTTAAGTGTTCCGGTCGCTGTACGGAGAACTAATTTTATAACTTTATTTTAGTTTCTCATAATATACAATTTGTTAACAAGAATTCTTAAACAAAATACAATGCAAATTAAAACTGTTCCTAAACCAAGTCTTGTCTTGAGATTTGTGATATTTTTGCCACGTGCTGCTTTCATCTTCAGCTGGTTTCACTTGAAAACGTTGATGGCTTTGAGTTTGTTGGATCTCAACATCCAAAGAGGACATTGAGATCTAAGGATCATCATCTCTCCCAGAAAAAGAGGTTTGAAAAAGAAAAAGAGAAATGGTGGTGAAAGAAGGGAAACGAGGACTTGCTAAGAAGTCCAAAAAACAAAAGAAAAGAGGAGAAGTGGAGACTTGAAAGATGAAGGGAAAAAAATGAAAGTTTAAGGGATAATGAAAGAAAAATATGAAAATTTTAAAAAGGCCAAGAGTAAAATGAAATGGAGGACAGAAATGGAGAGAAGGAGAGGGGAAAAGAAAGTATTGAAAAATGAGGATTATAGGTGTAGGGAGAGTGTTGATCCAGAGAAGGTGTGTGGCGAGATGAAAAAATGCGAGATTTTCACCACTAACCTTCTCTACTATCGAGATTTTCACCACAGACCTTGAATTCCTTTTCTTCCCACAAGACTTTCTCTAACACTGTCTATGAGGGTAAGGAAGAAGAACATCTCCATTGAAGAGAACTTCCTGGGTGGTTTTCTCAGATAGTGAGTTTGAAGACTTTTCATATTGGAATATTTGGTTGTGATGGAAATGGATGTGAGATCACTCGCTTTATATAGGTGGAGGTGAGAAGAGGGGATGGTTCACGGGTTACATTAAGTGGGTGGTTAGAACGGTAAAAAATAAATGATTTTCAACTTCCAAGAAAAATTGAATTTTGAAACGTTGAAAACTTATTATCAGTTACCAATTACCAAAACTCTTTCCACATGAACCAAAACCAATTACATTGGGTTTTCTAAGGAAGTAACTGTTTTGTTCTTGCTAAGCCCATAAGAATGGCCCAAAAAAGTCTGTGCACTAAAGGGAAATTATTCCTTTTAGGTTCTCAAGGCCCAAAATAAAATCTATCATTTTTCATTCCCTAAAGTTCTAAGTTCTAAGAGGACGAGGTAGTACCAAAAACATGGAATTCATTTTCATTATTTAAAAAATGGTACTAATTTTCCAAAGTCCTGTACAGTTAAAAATCCTAAGGACCAATTCTCAGAGCTAGAGAAGTGAAATGAACTAAGGAGTGAAACTCAATTTAAGAAGGCAGATATTGTAGAATACCTGAATCGGAGATCTCCAACTCAATAGTACAAAAAACGAGATATCCGACTTACATGCTTAGAGATCCGTCAGTAGTTTATTACCAAAAACAAAACATTAGCCATAAACAGTCATATTCCCCCTGAATGTATGCACAAATATTCTCAAGTATTAAGCATCAAGTCAAGCAAAAGTTCAAGAAAGTTAAGCAATGAGAGTTTAAACATGAAGGTGTTTTCATCAAAACAATAAGTGTTTATCTAACTTCCGCCCGTTTTGATGAGATAAACCTTCAAGTTCTTCTGCGCTTGGCAGCAGCTGCACCCAAACCTTCAATGACTCCACATTCAGCTCTAATGCGCTTTAGATTCTCCATGTGCTCCTTTTGATGTCCTTCATTTGTAAAATGTGAGGCTTCCGTTCCAATGGCCTCTGTGACATCAAGTTCATTTCTGCTTAAGTGCTGTAGTGAGAGCTCCGGATTGCTCTTCTGGGCATCAAGGAGGGTGTATTGGACAGTTACATCCAGTTTATGTCTAGTAGTGAATGATGCCATACCCTTGAGCAACCGGAAAAATTCCTTCTGATTTTCTACGAGGACTTTCAGATAGTCTTGAGTGACACACTGGTTTGTTGAGGAGATTGCCAGTGCAGATCTGATGTCCATATGGAGAAGTCCCATTTGCTTCTGAAGGCTCCTTCTAATAGCAGCCATGTGTTCTTTGATCTCCCCTACCTCTTTGAGTTGGAAGTGGGAGTCAGAAGCATAGGTCATCATCATGGTGCTCATTGAGGAACTCATTTGAGATATGATCTCAAGAGTCTTGTTAAGAGAATTTCTTATCTCTTGAAGGTTGGAGTTGTGCCTTTCTTCAGTTCTCCCCAATACTTCCTGGAATGAGGCTCTTTGAGACTCTAGGGCAGAGTCAATCATCCCTTGAACTCTTTTTGCCCATGGTTCATGCATCTCATCCGGAAGAGTTGGTGTAGAGGTTGAACAATGAAAATTGAAGTTGGTTACTTGGTTGGTTGGAGGTGGACTATGGAAACATTGCAAAGGAAGAGAATCAGCTTCCTTTTCAGCCCTAACATCCTCTTCTCCAATCCTCAGCATCTTGACAGAAGCTTCATCAAGATCTTCATTTCTGTAGTCTGAGATATCCTGGGAAAGGGGATCTCTCACAACTTCTTCATTGTGATGCTCATTGATAGGAACTGGAGTTTTAGTAGTAATCTCCATGTTAGCTATCTCAGCATCTTCACCGTTTCTGCTGGGTTCTTCTGAACTTCTACTTCAGGAATTTTCTCAACTTCTTCTTCCGTTTCCGGAAGAGTGGACTTTGAAGTTTCTTCCACATGTTCTTGAATTTCATCCTCCAGATCCTAATCTTCATCATTATGAGGTGAGATTTCAGGAATGTTAGCAATAACTTCCAGAGCTTCAACTTCCTCTCCTTGGTTGGAGATTTCAGAAGTGGTTGTGAAAATCTCATGCTCTTGATTGTTACCTTCAGCTTCTTCTATGGCTTGAATTTGCTCTTCTGCCTGGGTTTCCTCTTCAGTTTGAGGAATGGCAGTGTCTTCTTGAAGGTTTTCAGCTTGTTTAGTTTCTGGTGCAGAGGAGTTTTCCGGATTTGTTTGGATTTCCTCTGCTGCAGCTTCAACATCTTCTTGGATCTCCTCTTCAGCTTCTTCTTCAAGATGACCTCCTTGGGTGTCCATTGCTGGATTTGAGAATATGGGTTTGAAGACTGTTGTATCCTCATCATCAACTTTCCAAGCTCTCCATTCAATGTACATCTTGATGAAGCTGTCCATTCTCTCATCAGTGAGATGTTGTGATGATGGAGATAGAGGGCTCTGTCCTTGAACTTGTTCATGAGTCCCTTCATGAACTTGGAAAGTGTCTTGGTGTTGCTGTGAGTTCTCCGGATTGGCATTTCCGGATTCAGAGGGAGTAGAGATTTTCTTCTTCTTCTTATGGAGTTCTCCTTGATCAGAGACTTTCTCCTGATCAAGAACCACCAACTCAAGGTTTTGGGGTTCTTCAGCATTTTGAGAGGAGGATGCCACTTGTTTTGTCTTTGAAACCTTTTTCAAAGTGGTGGCAAGAACTTCATTTGAAGATCCTTCTTCTTCAGCAACCGAACTGGCTTTGCTTTCTCCTTTTCTTGATAAGTAGTACAGCCAGTATCTTTCCTCATACTTCTTGCCATCTGTGGCAACCTTCAACCACTCTAAAAATACCCAATGTAGATTCCTTAGTAGAGGAATTTTTGCCTAGGTTGGCCAATGTGTTTTGAGATGGAACTGAAGAAGTGTTTAGCCCAGTTTACATGAGTTTTGGAGATGAAGACATCAATGATGAATGCTCTTTTGTGAGTAATGTCATGAGCATGTCCTCCACTGCCGCATTCTAGACAGCCAATGATCAACTCCAGTAAGAGTTTGTAATCATTTTTCAGATCTCCTTTCTTCGTTGGACCAGTGGGAACTTTTCTAGAAATCTGAATTTCGCTCCAATTGAGAGCCTTGGGAGAGAGCTTCCCAATGTCAATCCCAGATTTGGACAGATGAAGCTTCGTTCTCAACTTCTTCTGTGAAATTTTCACTTCTTTGTCTCCTACAGTAGAGTGAATGATTTGCGTAGACTTTATGGGGTCCCTTTTGGATTGGGAGGTTTGGATTTCTCCATTGGTGTAGAACTCCAGAACATCCTCTTCATATTTGTTGTGAAATTCAAGATTTAGAAATTCCGAGAGCCCTTGCGCATCTATCATCTCGAGGAAGGCTTTGAAAAACGCTGGTGATGAGCTTTTCGCGAGGAAGACGACGGAGAGTTCTACAGTTGAGAGTGGGCAGTTGAGGCTGAGAAGTGGCGAATGAGTTTTGATATGGGCGATTTTTACGGCTGGTGGTGATTGGATTTTCACTATTTCTAAGGCCACGTGCCCACGCGTTGCTCTTCAAGACTTGGTGCGTGTGATCCCACGTGTACCGCACTCAGTCTAACAAAATTAGACAAATTTCGTGAAGTAATTCGGAGAACCTGGCTCCTTTTAGTGGTTTTGTGAAGATATCCGCCAATTACTCCTCAATTCAAATGTACTCAATTTTGATATCTTTCTTTTCAACATGATCTCCGATGAAGTGGTGCTTGACATTAATGTGCTTAGTGCGAGAATGATGCACTGGATTTTGTGAAATAGCTATAGCACTTTGATTGTCACAAAATATTGTCACCTCCTTCGTTTTGACTCCATAGTCTAGTAGTTGTTGCTTTAACCACAAGATCTGAGCACAACAACTACCAGCAGCAATGTACTCTGCTTCAGCTGTTGATGTAGAGATGGAGTGTTGTTTCTTACTGAACCAAGAAACAAGATTTCCGCCAATGAATTGACAAGTGCTGGAAGTGCTCTTCTGGTCAACTTTGCATCCGTCAAAGTCAGAATCTGAGTAACCCACTAACTCAAATGAACTGCTCTTAGCATACCATAAACCCATGTTTTGGGTTCCTTTTAGGTATCTAAGTATCCTTTTGGATGCAATTAGATGACTTTCTTTTGGGTTGGATTGAAATCTAGCACAAACACCTACTGCATATGAGATATCTGGACAGCTAGCAGTAAGGTAAAGTAGAGATCCGACTATTCACTTGTAGAGAGTTTGATTAACATCCTTTCCATCCACATCCATGTCGAGTTTGGTGGATGTCTTCATGGGTACAGAAACAGATGACTTCTGATCAACTTTGAACTTCTTGATAAGATCCCTTGTATACTTGGCTTGGTTGATGAGAGTTCCTTCACTTCTATGCTTGATTTGAAGACCAAGGAAGTAATTAAGTTCCCCCATCATGCTCATCTCAAATTTTCCTTGCATGAGGGTGGAGAACTTGGTTCATAAAGCTCCCTTAGTTTGAACAAGGGACCATCTTGAAGATCTTCACCAAATATAATGTCGTCCACATAGATTTGGACCAATAGAAGATCTTCACCATCTTGAAGTTTGAACAAGGTCTTGTCAATCACTCCTTTGATGAATCCATTGTCTATTAGAAATTGAGACAATGAATCATACCAAGCTCTTGGGGCTTGTTTGAGTCCATACATCGCCTTTTTGAGTTTATACACTTGATCACCTTTAGTGTGTAGATCAAATCCTGGAGGTTGTTCCATATAAACTTCTTCCTCTAGGTTTCCGTTAAAGAAAGCGCTCTTGACATCCATTTGATAGACTTTGAAGTCCTTGTGAGCATCAAAGGCTAGAAAAAGCCTTATAGCTTCAATTCTAGCAATTGGAGCAAAGGTTTCATCAAAATCTATACCTTCTTCTTGACAATAACCTCTAGCTACCAACCAGGCTTTGTTTATGACAAGAATGCCATTTTTGTCCATCTTGTTCCGGAAGACCCACTTTGTCCCAATGACATGTTGATGAGTAGGTCTTGGAAAAAGTTTCCAGACATCATTTCTGGTGAACTGAACGAGTTCTTCTTGCATTTCATTGGTCCAATCAGAATCAGCTAGAGCTTCTTCAATGCTCTTTGTTTCTACTTGCGAGATGAAACATGCAAGCATGGCTTCTAGATTCTGTTGAGCGCTCCGGGTGCGAACGCCTGATTAAATATCTCCAATAATTTGTTGTGGAGGGTGATCCCTTAACCAACAAAGATTGTGTTGATTAGGGTTGACTAGCTGATCTAGCTCTGCTTCTGGTTGAAGGATGTAGTTTGTTGGTGTTTCCAGATGGGTTGGCACTTGATCACCAGTTTTCGGAATCGTCGCCATGTGAGAGATCCGGAATTTCGAAAGGCTGGCCATGATTTCCGGTAGGCTCAGCGCAGTCTGAATCCGGACTTCTCCGAGAAGTCTTCAGTGGTAGACTTCCGAATGGAATGAACTCCGTTGGCTTCATTTTATTAACTTCTTCATCCATGCCTAAGAGATCCAGAATTTCATGATCATGCTTTGATGGCTTGTCAACTACATGTTTTTCATCAAAAACAACATGTATTGACTCTTCAGTGATCATGGTTCTTTTGTTGAAAATTCTGAATGCCTTGCTAACCAGAGAGTATCCAAGGAAGACTGCTTTATCTTATTTCTCACCAAAGTGTGCAGATGGTTCTTCCCATTGTTCAACACAAAACACTTGCTCCCAAAAATATGGAAATACGATATATTTGGTTTTCTCCCATTCCACAGTTCATAGGGAGTTTTGTTGTGCCTTTTGTATATCATACTCCTATTTTGAGTGTAGCAAGCAGTGTTTAAAGCTTCAGCCCAGAACCTTTTTGGGAAGAAAGCTTCTGCTAGCATGGTTCTTACTGCTTCTTTCAAGGTTCTGTTTCTTCGTTCAGCTACACCATTCTGCTGTGGTGTTCTTGCTGCAGAGGTCTGACAAAGAATTCCGTTTTCTTCAAAGTAGTGAATGATGATTTCATTCACGAATTCTGTGCCTTTTTCAGATCTAATCTTTTGGATAGTCTGACTTGTTTGGTTTCGATTCACCTTCATGCAGTTTGTGAGCTTCCCTTGTGTTTCCTTTTTGCTGTTGAGGAAGATTGTCCACGTGTACCTTGAATAGTCATTAACTACTACTAAGACATACTTCTTTCTACTTAGACTTATTGGAGTGGCATGGCCAAATAAGTCCATGTGGATAAGGCTTAGTATCCTTGTAGTTGAATGGGCTGGCTTCGCCTTGAAAGTGGACTTGACTTGTTTTCCGTTTTGACAAGCATCACAGATGATTTCCTTCTTGTACACAGCTTTGGGAAGTCCTTCCACTAACCCTTCTTTGGACAGCTTGTTGAGGGTTTTGAAGTTGAGATGACTCAACCTCTTATGTCAAAGCCATAGAAGGTTAGTGTCACCTTTGCTGATTAGGCAGGCCTCCTTGACGTTCTCCCACATTACTTCGTAGATGTTTCTAATTCTCTTCCCAATGAGAATGCCTTCATTTGTGGAGATGCTCTTGAGGGATGCCATGTCATTGCAGAACTCAAGGGAATAACCTTTTTCACAGAATTGACTTATACTTAGAAGGTTATAGTTGAGACCTTCCACATAAGAAACTGCTTGAATGGTTAGCCCCTTGTAGACCAGATTTCCCAGCCCCTTTATAAGGCCAAAATAATTGCTTCCTCCAAAAATAACTCTTAGACCGTCATAGGGAATTAGATTGGTCAAAAGGCTCGCATCACCCGTCATGTGTCTTGAACAGCCATTGTCTAAGTACCAGACACCTGGGTACTTAGTGGCTTCCTGCATCAGGTGGAGGAAGATTTTGGTACCCAATTCAGTTTGGGTCTAGAATAGTTAACAGTGTGTGTCCCCACATCAAGTTTGAAGTTGCAGGGAATCTTCCTTGTAGCTCTAAACTTGTTGGGGTTGTAATCATAGTTGTAGGCATAAAATTTCCTACGTGCAGGTGGTGCATATTCCAGTTTCCTCCTAGCAAACTTATGTTGGTGAGACCTATAGTTTTGTCTAGGTTGTGCATGGTGTGGCTTGTGATGGGTGTAAGCATACTTGGGTGGAATAAACAACTTCTGGGGTGGAGGATAATGATGTCTTGGCATTACTCTCTACTCACTGTCTCTTGGAAAGCTTCTATCTACCCCATAATGAGTATAACCTCCTGTGTAGTGGGGGTTAGAAGGCTTTCTTCTGAAATTGTTTCCTCTTTGAGGTTTGTCCTGCTTCCTATAGTGCTTAGGAGAGACAATCTTTTTAGGAACTTCTTTTGGCTTTTCCTTCTCCTTACCTTTCTGCTTATTGGGTTGGGCAGTAGGTTTGGGAAGAATAAAGGTTGTTCTCTCTTTCCTTTTGGAACTAGAGGGGTCAAAACCAAGTCCCTCAAGACCATTCCTTTTGGCCGTGTCTAGAAGCTTATCCACAGCTTCTTTGGACTTGAGTATCCCTATTTCCTTGTTGAGGGATTTTACCTTTTCAGAGAGAGACTCATTTTGAGCTTTGAGTTGAGTGATCTCAATAAGTTGACTTTTCCGACCTTCAGCCAGCGTGAGATTCTCATCACTTAACAGCTTTTTCTCCTCTTTCAAGGATGAGTGTTTAAGATTTATTTCCTCAAAATCTTCCATCATCTTTTTGAACTTGTCAAATAGACTTTAAGAGGTGAGTATGCTTTCATATGAAGATTAACAGGAGATTTGTGAAGTTACCTCTTGATCAGCGTCATCTTTGGCCATGAGGGAGAGAGTGTCATCTTCTGATATTGTCCAACAGTCTTCTAGGTTGGACCTCTCAGTTCTGCGCTCCATGCAGACGAGGGCTTCCTATTCAGAGCTTGAATTGGATGACTCGTCACTCTCAGCTTCTATCATTGCCTTCTTCTTCTTTTCGTTCCTTTCTCCTTCTCCGTACTTCTCCACCTTGAGGTACAGACATGCTGACTTCCAATGTCCAGGCTTCCTGCAGTTGTAACACAAATAAGATTCGGGGGGAGAGTTACTTACCTATAGCTTTCCCTTGTATGGCCTTCGTGTGGAGTCAGTCTTCTTGAAAAACTTTTTGAACTTCCGGAATTGCTTGACCATCATGGCAAATTCCTCTTCGAAGTTCTCCGCCTTTGAGCTTGGCTGCTGGCTAGTGGAGGGAGTGTCACAGCTCTTTTGACACGTCCCTTCACTTGCTGTGACTCTGACGTTTGTCAACAGCGCTGTTGGGTAAGGAAGGACTTGTTCTTCCTTCTTCTTCTTCTCCAGCTCGTGCTCATAGGTCATGAGATCGTCTAGGAGTCCTTGAAAAGTGTAGTTCTCCAGGTTTCTTCCCTCTTCCATTGCTGTGGCTTTGGTGTACCACTCGGCTGGAAGGATCTAAGCAACCTTATGTTCTTTTCTTTAGGAGAAAGAACGTCGTTAAGTGATGCAAGATCATTTAGAATCTTGTGGAATCTTTCATCCAACAAGTCAAATGATTTCCCGGGAAGCATTTTGAAGCATTTGAACTTCTCAAGCAGAACCTCAATCTTCTGCTTTCTCAAATCCTCTGATCCTTCACATAGCTTCCCAAGAACTTGCCATATCTCCATGGCAGTCTTGAGATGCTTGATCTTGGAGAAGGTGATGTGATCAAGAGTCTTGAAGATTGCCGCCTTTGCGACGTTGTCCAGATTGTGCTTCTTGCAATCTCTATCGTCCCATTTGTGTTTGGGCTTTGGTATGTACTGGACTACGTCTGGATTCTTGGGATCCCTTTCTGGACTCTCCATTTGAATCTTTAAGGGTCTTTCTTCAAGCACCATCCACATGCAGTTATGCAGGGCGTAGAGGTGTGCTTTCATCATGATCTTCCAGTCATCATAACCTAGAAGAGAGAACTTGGGCAAACCGTGATCCATATTGTTCACCATTATAATCGCTTCTCTTTAATCTAAAAGTAGATAGTGAGAAGTTTGCTCTAATACCAATTGGTGGTCCCCTAAGTGGTGAGATACAAAGTCTAGAGGGGGGGGGGGTGAATAGACTTTGTTACAAATTTAAAAACTTTTTTGTTTCTTTTGAAAACGTGAAAAGAGTATTAATCTAAAGTCCTTGAGAACTTAGATTAAGTGCGGAAGTTGGTGGATAGTTTGAGAAGTAATCAATATGGATGGGTTAGTTTCACAGTTAATATAATCACAAAATAAGTAGAGATAAGAGAGAGAGACACACAAACTTTAACGAGGTTCGAAGGTGGGGTAATCCTTCTTCGTCCTCAAAATCCACTATGTAGTTGGTTGTTGAATATGAACCAACAATTACACTTTGTGAATTTTTGCACGGTATATCTTCGCAATGCCAATATTGCTACTGCACTCGTGCTGGCTTTGTTATTTCTTCGAAGGTCAAGCTTCTTCAACAACCGCAAGGTCCGAACAATAGGACTTGCAAGATCAACTTGTAGGAAAGTTGATGTGCCCCGTTTTAATCAGAATATTTTATTAAAAGTTGTATCCTTCAACGTGGTGTGGTACTTGAGGGAATGAAACCTTCAAGTGTTTACACTTATAGCTCTTTGGAAGGAGGAGGAGTTTGCTTCTAGATAAGGAGTTTAGAATTCTCTCTTTATCAAGATTTTGGCTAACTATGAATGAAGGTAGCTTTGTTCGTTGTGTTAGTTGTCTGTTCTTCTTCAATCTTCTTTACAAGCTATATATAGGCAGGATGGTTTAATCTATCCGTTGAAGGGAATAGATTAACCGTTGCATTTGCTGGCTTCAATTTGAATGAAGAGGGAGAATGATGATTGTCCTTGGAGTGAGTTTTTGGACATACCCAATTGTTTGAAGAGGGATTCCTTTGTCATAAAATCCGTCTTCTAGCTGTTGTTCAAGATTTCTGGACTGTAGCTCGTTGTTGAGTGGAGTACTCATTTTGTCTTCTTGTGTTTGTTCAAGAATTCTGACCGAGCTCTTCAATTTGAGGAGTCCAGATTTTGTCTTCTTGTCATTTGTTCTTGAATCAGCTAAGTTATCCTCAATCTAGCCTTTGAAAATCAAGAGATTGATTTTTCCTTGCCAACTGGCAGAATTTCTTCATTCATGACTTAGATGAAATTTCTAAGTCCTTTCTCACTTGTCCGCTTCTTAGAGTTCCGGTCCACCTTGAGACATTCGGCTCTTAGCTTGACAGTTCTGGATTAGTAATCCTGAGACTTCCGGGTGAGAAAGAGTGATTCGCGCTAGTCTTCCGATCCGGATGACTTAGCTTTCATGCGGATGGCTGTGAGACTTTCGGGTATCATTGAGCATTTCGGATTTGAGAATTCCAAATTAATTAGACTTCTTCAAGAATTCCTTTCTTGTCTCTGACATTTTCGAGCGAGAGTTCCAATTTCCATATCTTTAATCTTGATAAGTCTTCCAAGAGTGAATACTCAAAAGCTCAAAATGAAATATCACAAGCTTTATTTGAAATCTCAAGAACTTGGTTTTAACAACATTTTTTAAATGAAAATTACATTGAATAATGGGGGAGATCTAGATTCCCTATTACAATTTAAATACATCATCATCAAAATCTATGATATTTTTTCCAATAGAATCCTTGAACCCATTGTCTCTCCCACTCAAGCCTCCTCCACTGCTTTCTAGATAAGCCTTAATAATCATCTCCACGAACTATTCAACAAGGCCTGGCTATTATGGGATTCTTTTTACTTCACGCAACACCATCACCATGAACAAGATCAGGTAGGTCTTGCATGGCCTCTTCACCCACACCCAATCTGGTTTTAAATTCTGGCTCTCTATGCTCAAAAACTGCACGCATGCCACTTTGGAGCTCACTAAGATCGCACTCAAACCCCCATACACTCCCTTGGATCATTGGAGGAGACGTCAACACAAAATATTTGCCACATGTACGAAGCATGCATATTGAGATCGATTGTCACTTCATTCGTAATGAGCTTTTACGAGGAGAGATTCGTGCCCTTCATGTACCCACTATGCATCAGCTTGCAGATATTCACACGAAGGAACTTGGGAAGTCACGATTGGAGTTTTTTATACCCAAGTTGGGCATTTCTTCGTTACATGCTCCAACTTGAGGGGGGTGTAAAAGGAAGGAGAATATTTGGAATATATTTTCGTATATATTAGTTTTGTTAGTTTCCTTGTATAGGGATTTCTTTTCCTTTGTTAATTAGGATTCTCAACTATATATATGCCTTGGTTGTAAATTGTAAACACAAGAAGTAATACAAGAGAATGTTAAATATATCAATTATTTAATATACTAGTATTTTTACCCGTGCAACGCACGGGGTCGAACAAAATTTTTATTGGTTCTAAAACTTTTTTAATGCAATATTTTTCCCAGAATAAAGAAAATATATTTCCCTATGATTTTTAATACTATATACAAAAATTCCAAAGTAGAATAAACAATATTTGAGAAATTGAATGTGTATTCAACCAAGTTTTTTTTAATACCAAACTTTTTGAAAGACTGTAGGGTATATAATTTTTTTGATATAGTTGCAAGGGTATCATTGTCATCTAGAACTAGTATTTTTAATTTTGTTTTTGTCTTCACTCATGGAACCATAACATAAAGCTGACCATGAGCGAATACCAACTTCGTTAAAAGTAATGCAAGAAATGACAATGTTTAACTTTGACTTTTGTTGATAGTCATTGCAAAATATAAGACTATTGATATTTGCCTTATAAATAACTTCAAGAGTGGTCCTAGATCAGATGGTATCCATTTCATTAGGAGTATGTAAACTTTTTGCTGACTCGATTTCTCAAAACTACAATTGACCAACAACATTTTTTCACAGCTCTTCAAGGATTAATCGTGTACCATTACATAATCCATATATTTGGTCAATGTTTCTCAATATCAAAATCGTTAAGCCATTTTAAGATTATTTTGTAGTTTGGATCCCCGAACATTTGATTTCATTTAAAATTTAATTGTTATTTAATTGTCATCAATAATTACATCTGAATCGGCCTGACATGAAAAATCAAAACTCAGGCACACCATTTCATATTAGGGAATGGGGGATATGACAAATTCATTTACCATCTCTACAACCTTAAGCATGGTCCAGTAGTGCCCTATCCTAAAAAATGAATAAATTTTCATACTCTCCAATAGGTTCAATTAGGATAAGTGAAGTCCACTATACTCTTCACAAAATAAATTGTGTCTAGAATTAATAATTTATGCGGAATTTTAAGGTCATTTGTTTCATCAATCACTTGTCTAAGTTTTTCATCTCTAACTTTAATTATCCAATCAAAAAAAATTTGTGTGTCCCTATATGAGATAGAGGACGTAGAAGAATGTAATATCATATTCTTCGCTAACATATAAATTTTAAAATACGACCATAATTTTAAAGAATAGATGATAGCACTCACAATTTTCTCTCTTGAAGTTTTGGGTAAAACAGGAAGAGTTTGCCAAAAATCACCTCTGAGTACAACTATTTTCCCTTCGAGTCCTACTTTTTCCCCTCCGAATTCAACTATTTCCCCTCCAAATGGTTCATTTCTAGAGTTTTTATTAGAGAAATTCATTACATCTCTCATTTTGTGATCCAGCACCTTAAAAATAAATCTATTCATTATGCATGCTCCATCCCATATTATTAGACTTACTTGTTGGATTAGTTTTGCTTTCGGACTCTCTTGTTTGATGGCACACGTTATGCAATCGCCCAAAGAGATTGAGAATCTCAAGTGTAATGTCATTCACCCATGTCCTTCCCCCATGAAAAAGTAATGTTGCAGTACAACTGGATGTGACATTCAAGACAATCTTATCATTTGACATTAGAGAAATAAACACTGATTTCTATATAAAAAAAATATTTTTTCAGTTCCACTGTAACCATACATAAAAAAGAAACCTCCTCTTTCAGGTGTCACAACTTCCATTATCTCATCGTATATATTGTGCTGATATTCATTCATCGTAGATAAGTATCTCATAAGATCATATGTAAACTTTTCTTTTTCACTTTTATAATGCAAAATCATTCCAAGATAGTATTCTCGTCAATATACAAAATGTTTTATCAAAATAGAAATAATTATAAATATGAAATTATATTTCTCTTTGATGTGGTTGTAACTTGTAACTTAGTCTCGATCTTATTAGTCTCCATTCCGATTTAATATTTTCATTTGACTTTTCTTGGTCAAATTTTGTATACTTTAACCTTGTTATATAGAAAAAAGGAACCTCTTCATATTTAGTAGGTAAATAATAAATTTTGGAGTTCCGATCAACAAAATTATAAATCTGTTCTCGTAAGCTCCGCAAAGAATATGGAAAATAATATAATTCACCAAAAAATAATGCTATCAATTTCCTTTTTAAATAGATTACTAATGATGCCCTCCCTTAAACTTACCAAATGAAGTGTGAGTACATCATCAATTACACAATAGTTTTCACAATTTCACCTATCCACACTATAGAAGAAAAAAAGAAAGATTTGCAAAGAGATTCCCAAGAAGTTGAAGATGATGATTTTGTAAAATAAAAAAAGATATATAAGGTAATCTAAGTGTAGAACTGTAGAAGGAAACTTTTGGTAGTTACTACTCCATATATATTACTCTGTATATATTTCCTAAACAAAACAAAAAAAATCACTCAAATAGAAGTAAGACATAAATCTTATGCCCAGAATAAGAGTTCAATATTTTTATTTCCTAAATAAAGTTTACACAGTGACGTTGTGACAATGTATATTACCATTTCATAATGTTTTTAGCACTATATAATAAAATATTGGTATTGTAGTTAATATTTTGGAGATAAAAGATATGAAACTCATATTTTGGCACTTTCTCCATATTCTAATCTTATTTTAGTTTTTTTCCCAAATAATTATAGTGGCACTTCGTAATCCGTATATGTGGCAGATGATTTGTTAAAATGTTGCAATGTAGACTCACCACTTATTGTAATTCTATGAGTTTAACTCTTAAATTTAATATATAAAGATAAAGATATGTAGTAACCAAACCCATTCTTTTTGTTTAGCATAAGACCACTAACCTAAATATAAAATTAATAAAATTCATTCAGAGAAGTAGATGCATAATTAATTATTTCATAAAAATGGATGAATCTAAATCACTTTTTTATGCAAAAATATACTCACTCCGTCCCTCATAGATCTTATCATTATCCCTTTTTATTTGTCCACCATAGATCTTCCTATTACATTTTTTAACAATTAAAATATATACCACAACTATTTCCACTTACTTTATTTTTTACACCTCATCTATCTCATTTAATACACTCCACCCATTTTCATTAAGGGTATTATGGTAAACTTTAACATTTTTTCAACTCTCCTTAAAAACCACAAAAAATCAAAATGAGAAGATCTTAAGGGGATGGAGGGAGCGATTCCAAATCCAAAAATAGAAAGTGTTCTTTACCCCCCATACGTATATATGGTAAATAAATTGGTATTTTTAAATAATTCTAAAAACTTTATTCATTAACTGTCTCAGTTCGCTTTGCTGTCAAATGCTTGAATAATTATTTATATAAATATATAATGAACTGAAATATTAAAAATTAGACTTTAATCTCAAAATAAAAAATATGTTTGATAAAAAATTTCATTGGTCAAACATATCTCATTCGAAAAATGAATCGGGTGTTAAAAACAATAGAGTTACTAATTCTTAAGATTAACTGCATGACACTAAAGAGATAAATAATTTAGTCACTATAAAAAATAAAATAATGTCAAATCAGTACTTTGTATGTTGATTAAAATTACCAACTCATTAAAATAATAAATAGACAACAGATGATTTATTAAAAATGTCATATTAGCTCGTGACATGCCAATATCATGTAAGCCAGAGTCTCAAATTTTATAATAAAAGGAAGGATTAGCCAACAAATGTCATTAGCAATTAATTGAAAGTTTTTTATAATTAACATTTATAACCTCCTAATTATAATTACTTTACATATATCTCGTAAAAGTTTTTCATATGTGCAATAATTGGGAATGAATTATTGCTCTAATAAGATGTTTTCATACTTTAAGTTAAAATTGCCAAGTCACTTAAGTCATCAAATGTGGCTGATGATGTTTAAAAAAAATTTGCCAAGTAGCCCGACACATGTCGAATTTCTGGGAGTTTAACTCCCAAATATTATATATATAAAGGATTTATCATTATATATTATAATTATGGTTGTTACCTATTATAGTTAGAGTTATTATTATACTACGGGTATAATATTACCTTATATAATTAGTCATTAATGTGGAGGATTCTAGAATATATTTCTCCACCTATAAATACATACTTTGTGTTCCTCTTCTATTTATTCAAGAAATAAAGCATTATTTGTTATTTTACATGGTATCGGAGCTTCCTCCAATCACCCTTCAATCCCTATTTTTTTCCATCTCTCACAACTCATATCATCACCTCAACCTGCTTCGTGGGTAGATCTTCGGTCAACATGCATCTCCGGCAGTACCTCATTCCTTGTTTTTCTTCTCTAACACAGTCGCGCACGACTCCAGCGCGTGTCAACCTTCTCCCTCTTTCGACGTCAGCAGCATGAGTATGTTCGCAGCGGCTTTTCTCCTCTCCTCATTAGAGCCTTCACATCTCTTTCGTGGCAATCTTTCTTCTTCTCTTCTAGGCCGGATGCGTTCAGTCAACTCTAGCTGAAGATATGCCTCTAGCTTCTGATTACAATTCTGGTCACGATTCTAGTATAGTTGGCGTTCAATCTTCACCGTTCAGGACGTTGGGAGCATGTTAAATATATCAATTATTTAATATATTTAATATTATATATTATAATTATGGTTGTTACCTATTATAGTTAGAGTTATTATTATATAATATTTGTTAGACACGATTTTATTATGTGGCCTGAGTTATCATTTATCTAATTAATTGATCATTGACCTAATAAATACCCTACGTACTTAATTGGTAATTATTCGATGGACGTAATTACCCTTATGACCTAATTAGGGTTTTCCCTTGGGTGTATATATTAGAGGTCATTAGGCAGAGATCAGAACATACCAATCTTACGCCTCCTCT